TCGGGGCTCGCGGGAGGGCCTCCCTTCTGTATCCTGCCTGGCAGCTCTTTCTAGAATATTTTCATTGGTCCCACTCGCTCACGTGACTCCTGCTTCTTTCACTACATGTTATTTACCGGTTTATTCTTCCAACACATCTTAATGACATGTTCTGCACCAGGGGGTGTGTTAAGTGCTTTAAAACTCACTGCAGCCTACCTTTTATAAGGAAAGCAAGGGAATTTTATTACAGACGTTAAAAAAAAACACTTTTCTAAAACGGCATGGCTACTTTTTGATGGCTTTTTTTTTTTCTGCCTTTAAAAAGATCCCCTTCCCTCGTTTCATAAATAGACACCTAGGTCGACAACTAGATAATTATAAAGATATTGTGGTCTCCAGCTAGAAGATGAGCGTCACCAAGATTCTCCTAACAGCCCTTTTGGAGTTCTTTTTACCGTTTATCAGATGGTTTTAGGCTGTGTTTAGCTGACAGTTACATCTAACTAAAACAGGTATATTGAGTGGCCAGTTTCAGTAATATAACATAGATTTCTAATAACTTCCTATCTGAGAGCTAGATCTGTTAACACAACCTACAACTTTCTTGATCTTCGATGGAGTTTAAAAGGATATCATTAACTATCCTTTAGTTATCCTTTAGTTAGGCACAGAAGTATCTAAATCCTAAAATTTCTCACATTTCAACATCTTATAGTCAATAAATTATACTTTAATTGGCTGTTTTTAGTGAGGCATGAACCAGTGCATCTTACAATTAGCAGCTTTTTAGATTTGATGAAGTAAACATACTCTTTCAAAGGCCCTAAAACAAGTTTGTATTAGCATCAGTTCTCAGATTGGAGGATATCTCAGACAATAACAAGTCACAGTCCATAGACCCCAATTTTAGGAAATAGCCCCTCTGAGTGCTCCCAGTAGATACTCAGTGTTTCTTGGAGATGCCTAGAAGCAGATTCTTTGAGCAGGGTACACCATATATGTCAGCTACTGATATCCCCCACACCCAGTATGCTCTTTAAGGTGCAGTATAGAGTACACATTACCCATTTCTCATTCACCAATGATAACCAACCTCAGGATCAACTTGGTTCCCAAAATGTATTTGGATTAACATTAAAAAAAAAAGCTGTGTTTGGAAGCAAAAATAAGCTGTACTAAGAATTTCAATGGAAAGCTAATTAACTCTCTGGAAGCTGCTATACAAAATCTATACCATTTGGACCATAAAAGATGCCAACTCTGAACTCTAAGCACATCCTACTATTAGAGAACACTAGGCCTCAGTTGCCTGGGAAGTGATGTAGCCTGCAGTACACCACAATATGTATGTACCAGTAACCATCAACTCCTCCACAAACCCCCAGCTTGCTAGTCCTCTGGGCTCCTGAGCAGCCACAGAATGGGCTTTTCTCCCCTAGTTAGCAACAAGCGGAGTGGCTGGCACATGGGAGTCTCCTCATAAGTAGTATTTGTTGTCTGCACCCTGGGAGCCTGGAATGAGAGGTTAGATAAACTCTCCCAGAGCCTGGAGGGTAACAACACACACAGCAACAACTGCGGAGAGCATGCATGTGCCTCTATACTTTAGCTTGAGCAAATGAAGCCCAGTGTGCATTTCGTCTCATCTGACTCCAACCATCTCTGAGTTAGGCCCGACAGTTGTTCTAAGTCTGACTCTGGACAGCAGAAAGGGGAGGGAAACACAGGGCAAGAGGCATATATCTGAAAGTCTGAGACAGTCACTCCAGTCCCTCTAGTCAGAAAACCCTAGCTCTATCATATATATTTATACTTCTGTTGAAATTTTGTGTTTAAATGAAGATGTCTAAAGCAGAAAAGCTTCAAGCCCGTTTACCTGGCCCTCACACAAAAGTTCAGAAGCAAAGAATAATGCCTAGGTAATATTAGTTTCCTAGGATCAGCCTAACAATGTACTTTAAAATGGAGTGTTTCCAAAACCAGAAATATATTGGGAGCTGGGCGGTGACAGCACATGCTTTTAGTCCCAGCACTTGGAAGGCAGAGTCAGGAAGATCTCTGAGTTCAAGGCCAGCCTGGTCTACAGAGTTGAGTTCCAGGACAGGCTCTAAAGCTGCACAGAGAAACCCTGTCTTGAAAAAAACAAAACAAAACAAAACAAACAAAAACCTACTAAATTGCTGGTGATGAGCTCCAGTAGAGGTCAGGACTTGAGAAGGTTGGATGTAGCAGGACATATAAAGAAGATGCACCCGACAGCAGTTTGAATCTTTTTCTGAGCTTCTGGGAATATATTATTTGTTAGTGTGTTCAGGAGATAGTCTACAGGGGTTTAATTTTATGTCTTACAACAATGAATATATCGATCTATATATTTCAAAAATGTTTAATATGTGACTATTTTCCCAACATGAATCAAAACATCCTCGAAAAGTCATAATCATAAAATTCAGTGATCACTATTCTTACCCTGACTCAAACTTTCAGCTCCCTCATGTCCTCCTCACCCCTTCTCTTTTCCCCTTCTGATTCTCCTAGCTCCCTCCCCCCCTCATCCCGTGCTCCCAATTTGCTCAGGAGATCTTGTCCCTTTCCCCTTCTCTAGGGGACCATGTATGTCTCTTTTAGGGTCCTCCTTGTTTACTAGCTTCTCTGGCAGTGTGGATTTAGGCTGGTAATCCTTTACTCTATGTCTAAAATCCACATATGAGTGAGTACATACCATGTTTTTCTTTTTGTGACTGGGTTACCTCACTCAGAATGGTTTCTTCAAGTTCCATCCATTTTTCTGCAAATTTCAAGATTCCATTGTTTTTTTTCTGCTGAGTAGTACTCCATTGTGTAAATGTACCACAATTTCTCTATCCATTCTTCAGTTGAGGGGCATCTGGGTTGCT